GTTTTTTTTTGCTCTAACCCCTGAGAGCTTTGCTAGCGAAGTTAGCTTACAACTTTACAGCCAATGTGGTCAAGAGTGATCTTCCATTCACTAGCATAAACCTAGCACTTTAAAGAGCACGGGCACCTAACTGCAGAAGTGCTATGATGACGGTATGACTGTTGAAACTTGAAGGAAAAATAAATATTATTATGGCACCGGGATCTGCATATTCTCTCCCAAAGAAAACCACTGCCGAGTTCAGCGGTCGATTCAAATGGCTTTTCTTCCTTCTTTTATAAAGAGAAAAATCTGATTTGCTCCTGCGAATGAGCACTCTACATCCTGTGGATTTAATAATGACAGAGTCAAGCAGGAAACTGGGCCACAAGAGAGACGGGGGCAACGGAGAGCTGAAGAGGAGGAGCCGAGAAGTGACGGCTGGAACACGGGCTTCAAATCCTGCCCTTTCCTCAAGCCAGGTTTAAGATGCAGGGTGAGTCCCTTCACCTCTTGAATCCTCAGTTCCCTCTTCTGGAAAATCAGGGAGAGGATTTAATGTGCCTTAAGCTTAGGGTACACAGAGGGTTCCGTGGGGATGAAATGAGATCGTGGATACAGAACACAACATAGTATCTGTCACAGGTTCCTTGTCCAACAAGTGTTAGCTGTTATTGTTTTGCCCTTTTTGACTCTTATCATCTATTCAGCTCTCTTTCAAATAACCTGTTTAAACACTTGTCTTTTATTTTTTCACTGCAAATGAAAGAGATAAAAGTATTGACCAGTAATAGTATGTGTGATAAATATGCACACTTCTCTCACATTTACAGACAATCTATGAATCACGCTGAAGCTGGCTTCTGGAAACAATTCCCAGCACATTCCACTTGCAGTCAGAAGAATTGGCAATTTTCTTAAAATATGAGCAGTTCGGCGCTGGGCAGAACATGTATTCAGGCTCATAAACATAAACATGTTTTATGCAGCGTTTAAACATGAACTATGCAACTCCAAAATGCTACAAAAACACAAACAAAATAATTTCAAGAATAAAGACCTAAAGCTAAAGAAACATCGAGAGGAAGTAGAAAAGGAGCCAAGTTTTCTATAAGGCAAGAAAGCTGATCAGGGAGAGAAATTCGTGTTTCTGAATTCTTTTAGAGGAAGAGAGTAGCACATTCCAGAAACTCCTTAACATTCTACGCCAAGCCACTTTGGTGATTGCTTTCATATTCTGACCTTTTCCTAGGAGCTCCAGCCCAAGGTCAGGACCGGACCTCTCTTCCGTGATGGCCACTGTGTAACCGAGCTGAGCGAGAATGTGCTGGTGGACCCGGAGCTCCACTGTGCTGTAGGAGGGAGGCCTGTAGAGTATGGCCCTTCGACCATGGCTGCCAAAGTGGGTCTCCACGGATTCTTCCATCTGAAAAAGAAAGGAGGCGTAAAAACTCAAGAGGAAGCGGCATCTTTCTCTTGAAGGACATCACTCATGCAAATCAGGGACCATTCGGAAAGTTCTCTTTTAACTTTTTTCTCTAGACATGAAAGACATATTCTCTGAAAGGCTGACAAGGACAGAGACAACCTCATGTGCAAGAACTGAAGGTGCATGGCCTTTTCCTCACTATTACAGAAAGTTGAAATTTGGGGGCCATTAACGTACAGAGCTCCTAGAGCAGTGGTTCTCAACCTTCCTAATGCCGCGACCCTTTAATACAGTTCCTCATGTTGTGGTGACCCCCAACCATAAAATTATTTTCGTTGCTACTTCATAACTGTAATGTTGCTACTGTTATGAATCTTAATGTAAATATCTGATATGCAGGATGTATTTTCATTGTTATAAATTGAACATAACTAAAGCATAGTGATTAATCACAAAACAATATGTAATTATGTATGTCTTTCCCGATGGTCTTAGGCGACCCTTTGAAAGGGTTGTTTGACCCCCAAAGGGGTCGCGACCCACAGGTTGAGAACCGTGTCCTAGAGGAATACTGTGGTGCAGAAATACAGAGCCCAACTCTGGCAGAAAATGGAAATGAATAGCAATGCCTGTCATCCGCATCGAGCTTTTATAAAGTAGTTCCAGCTGCATTATCTTATAACAGTTCTTCTGGGTAAACAGGGTGGAGGAAACGGACTCGGAGAGAGGCTGGGTTTTGTTCTGGAAGGAATTGTTCAGGAAGTGCTACAGCTGGGAAGCAATCCCAGAGCCTGTTGGAGACATATGTTGCTACAGCTTCTCTCAGGATGCAGCAAAACTTGAATGCATCTCAGTGAGACTGGGTGGGTCTTTGTGTGAGGAGACTAGCAAAATGTCATAATCTTAGGTTATCCCTCCAACAGTTTTTTGTCCTCCAAATAAACATCCCTCGTTCTCACAAGAATGTTTGGAAATGCCACTAACAAAGGCGAGTTTTCTCCTTGACAAGTAGAAAGAATGACAATATTTTAATAATGTTTTTTAAATATATTTTTATTGGTTTCCAAGAAGAAAGGAGAGGGAGAGAGAAATAGAAACATCAACGATGAGAGAGAATCATCTGAAAATTACTAGCCAATACATGGTGGAGTGTAAGAGAACAGAAACTCTGGGGCCAGGCTGCTGGGTTTGAATCCGCTGGCTCCACTAGCACCATGTGTGTAACTTTGGACAATACCTTCCTTCCAAGGGTGCTGTGAGGATTAAGGAGTTAACATCTGTAAAGTACTTAGAACTGTGCCTGGCATACAAGAAGTACTAGATATGTGTTTTTAAAATAACAATCTATCATATCATAGAGATCAGAGAGTCAGGAAAAAACATTTCTGATTCTGCGCGCTGCCTGCCCCATACATACGTGCGATGAATATAATGGAAAGGAATAGAACACTACCTAACCACGCTCTCTGTGCATGGCACTTTGGCAAAACGTGACTGATGAAAGGATATCACATTTATTGGAAATGAAACTATTTGAACTCAAGAGGTTAACTGCAAATTGGGATGTGCTTCCCCCCCCCCACCCCACCCCTCCAAAAAATATCTGGATCTAGTTTGCAATGATAAACTTCTAAGAAGGAGTACTTGAACCTCAATACAGCTTGAACCTTTGGACACAGGAGTCAGAGGGACCCGGTAGCACAGAGGAGACCAAAACAAGCAGACATGGATCGAGGTGGAAGGGGAAGACAGATGCTTCCAAATATATCGGCGTCACTCAGGCAAAGTGCAGTGTCCAGGATTCCCTTCTCGTATTATTCTCTTACGTAATCCCAGGATGTGTTTCTCTATTACAGCCGGTTCAAGTATAGCAGTGATTTCACATAAAGAGATTGTACTTTCAAACTTTAAGTTATTATTTAGGAAGATACCATTCCTCTTTTCCCCCCAATCAGGATCAGTTTAAGCAACACAGAGGTAACTCTTACCAATATACCTTATAGAGAGCATAGTCTAAATAAAATATAATGACTGGACATTTTTGTAATAACCTGGGCATAGGCTGAAATTTTAACTCATGTCCCTGACTACAAAGACCAAATAGGAAGTGAGCTCGTCAGTCAGATTATGTTGTATTATCCTGTCCTACAAACCGCCCTGTCCTTGCAATATTTATAACACCCTGTATCAGCAGAATGGCCCAATACCAAGGAATGAGAACAGTTTTAGCCAGTCTGACAACAGGTGCACGCACTGGGTATGTGAAATGAAAACTATGCTAATAGTATGTCAACCGCACCAGCAAATGCGGGATTAGCAACGCCAGGAGCAGCACTTTTAGAAATAAAAGCTCCTGATTACTCAGACACTTTTGAAGATATATATTTAGTGGAAAAATACATTCAACCTGGGCACCACTACAACTAAACTTGAGACTTGCAAAGCCTCAATATCTAATTGAGAAGTTGGATATTCTACTCTAATGACACTCTAATCCCGAAATCACTTCCCTCTCTCACATCTTGAGAGATTAGCAGAAAAGTCCCTCAGAAATCATTCTGCTAGACAACATGAAAGTTGTTTTATTAACTGAACACATTTTTATTGGCAGGACTTCCAAATCTGAAACCTTTATACCACTCCGATAAAGCAAAGGATAGAGTGTTGTAATAAATGAGCTGGAGTGTTACATGAAGCAAGGTAGTGTAAGACTAGAGGAGCGTTGGGAAATCCAAAATCCGGATGTGAATTCCGGCTGTGCTAATCGCTGGCTTCATCCGCTGGGTTTTTCTTATATGTAGTAACAAATCCTACCTCATGAGGTTATACTGGGAATTAAATAAATTTTCTATGCTAAAGTGTGTAATATAGTGTCCTATCAATAAATGATGTTAAGTAGATGAATGAAGTTGATTAATAATGTTATATTGTACCTCTGCTTTTATAATAGGAATTCTAGAAATTTTTCAATTAATATAGTTTGGTCTCTGTCCAAAAAAAAAAAAAAAAAAAACAATTCTAAAATAAACTCTGTATTTCCAGATGCCCTGTTATGTTTTTCTTTGTAGTACTCATTACCATTTAATGCAAAAATATCATTTATTTATTTACTGTGTTGATTTTCTGTCTCCACACACCATAAAGGAAGGTAAATGAAAGCATATATTTGTGTCTGTTTTATTCACTTTTGTTTTCAAAACCTAAGAATAGTATTTGGAATGTAATGTGCACATAATACATATTCTTTGAGTGAATGAATGAATGAATGAATGCAAACATCCTTTTTCTCAATATGTAAAAGTCTTTGTTATAAATACTGTTATAGAATTTTTGGAATAGAAAAAGGACAAATGTATTAAGAAATTTACTGCAGTAGAATTGTGAATAGTAGCAACAATGACAAAAATAGAGTTAAATATTTGAGCAAAATAATAAGTTTCAGTAAAAGTGAATAAAAAGCTATATTATGAAAGCACTATATTTCTCAGATACTTACACTAATAAAAAGTTTTCTCCAAGACTTACCAGAAAACCAAGAAATACTGCCCTTTAAAATTTAGTAGGAATCAAAAATAAAACTTTTTCCTACACAACAGAAAGATTATTTCTACATTTATTAAGTAGCCATGTATTTATGACATCTTTTGGTGCTTCTACAAATATATACTAGACCTAGGATGTGTGTCATATATAACTAAAAGTCAAGTTACTTTGCTGGTCTAGATTTCTGGCATTTTAGAAATATTGCAGAGCCTATAACTGTGGATTATGTTTTAATTTTTCCTACTATAAGGATAAAATATTGTTTCAATTGATGAAATGTACATTTCTTTTAGGTAATTCGAGAAATAAAATGGGTAAAGTTTGCTAGGATGTACAACTTACACATTTTCTACTGAAAATGTATTTATAGCTGCAGGATCGTTTAGGAGCCACAGGTTCCCTGGAAACACCAGCAGGGTCTCTGGAGAATGCTCCTCACCTAACTGGACCTTTAGTGAACCTCTGCCTTCGATCTCACAGCTGACGTAACTGAATTTCAAGCCCATGATGGAAGGACCATCCTGTTCTCAGAACTACTTCATCCCCATAACACAGAGCACCATCTGCTTGTACTTCCAAACTGTACATTAGGGCTATCTCAACTCTCAACACCCAGTGAAAGGCAAGTTTGCTCACCTGTGGCTCTACATAAGTTCTACACAAATAAGGAAACAAAAGCAATAACATCTATACTAATAAAAGGGTAATATGCTAATTAAGGTGGACATCTTCAGGACGGCCTTCCGGACAACGCCACAGTGGCTGCCCAAGACTCAGGCTGCCGCTGACAGGGCCAGCCCGAGGCTCAGGAAGGCTGTGGATGGCGGCTGCTGCTGCGAGGGCCCAAGGCTCAGGCAGCCAAAGAAGCTGGCAGTGGCAGCAGCAGAGGCATGATGGGGGCATCACCTTCCCCTGATGAGTTGGTTGCCTCCCACAGAGGGAGGCCAGATTCCTAAGCCATCAGTAGGACATCTCCTGAGAGCTCCTGGACTGTGAGAGGGAGCAGGCCGGGCTGAGGGATCCCCTCAGTGCAAAAATTTGTGCACTGGGCCTCTAGTCTATATATATAAAAGCCTAATCTACCATTCAACCAGTAGCTATAATGCACATTGACCACCAGGGACAGACGCTCAGAGCATAGGCATGGAAACATGGAACAGACTGATGAATCTCAGAGGAAAGGGGGGAGGGGGAGGGCAGGAAGAGATTAACCAAAGATCTTATATGCATACTAGAGGCTTGGTGCAGGAATTCATGCACCAGTGGGTCTGGCCTGCAGGGACCGGGCTGCATCTGTGCACTGGGCTTCTGACATCCCTGAGGGGTCCTGGACCACAAGAGGGCACAGGCCAGGCTGAGGTGAAAAATCCACTAGAAAATCTCAGTGGAGGCTTTGACATCTGCATCTCAAGCCATAATATACCCATTACTTCCTCATCCCCAATGACTATGTC